AGAGCAAGACTCTGTCTCAAAAAAAAAAAAAAAAAAAAAAAAAAAAAAAAAAAAAAAAAAAAAAAAAAAAAAAAAAAAGAGCATTTTAATAAAAAGTTTGGGGAAAATCCCAGGGTTTAAGATGGGACTGATGAAAAATAACTACAAAAGAAAAATCTGTGTCTCACATCATTTCCTATACACTTCACCCTCACTATAAAACTTGGTATTTATATACTATTTTAAAAAGGAATTAAAGCTAATTTTCAAAGAAAGTTAAATTCATGATTCTAATCAAAATCTTTTTTTGTTGTTGTTTTTTAGAGATGGAATTTCACTCTTGTTGCCCAGGCTGGAGTACAATGGCAGATCTCGGTTTGCTGCAACTTCCACTTCCCGGGTTAAAGTGATTTTCCTGCCTCAGCCTCCTGAGTAGCTGGGATTAGAGGTGCCTGCCACCACATCCAGCTAATTTTTGAATTTTTAGTAGAGACGCGGTTTCACTATGTTGGCCAGGCTGGTCTGGAACTCCTGTCCTCAGGTGAGCCACCTGCCCCCTTTCCATAGTGCTGGGATTACAGGCGTGAGCCCCCATGCCCAGCCCAAAATCTTAATAAAAGTACCCTTTGCTCAGTGTTTGGTTCTGGCTATTAAGTTTGGTGCAGAGTACCCAAACTGAATGCCAACAAAGTTTTTCAAGGATAAACCAGTACTCTTAAGTTATTGTGTAAAGTACCAATAAATATCATAAGTTTCATAAGCTGCTCAAAACCCACTCTGCTATTTCCTATCTTAGTAACTAAATAGAGGATTAAGAATTGAAAAATGGGATATAGGTTTGAAAAATAAAACTTAAATGATCAATTATATTTTAATTATGTAATTTTTTTTTTTAATTTTATTTTTTTCTTTAAGTCTACAGCACCCGGTATATTCCCAGACAGTCTCCCATCCAAGTACTAATCAGGGTCGATCCTGCTTAGCTTCCGAGATCAGATGAGATCGGGCGCGTTCAGGGTGGTATTACCGTAGACTAATTATGTAATTTTAATTAAAATTAATAAATGATCAATTTTAAAGGGACATAATCTTGGTTTATGTCAATTTAAAATAAAAACAGAACTAGATTTTATTATATGTGTGTAAATTCCTACTTCTGAAAATCAACTATGAAAAAAAATTTTTTTATCATTATATTTTTATGAAGTAGAAACTAAAGGTCTAGAAATTTTAAAAAGGTAAGATTTTAATAGATGTGATCTTTAAAGACGTTGGCCTTCAAATTTATAGCTCCAAGTTTTTTTTTATAAATTAATGCATACTCTAAAGTGGTATATTTGTTTTCTAGATTAATACATCACAGTCAGGATTTATTAATTAAGTCCATATTGTAAAAAGTCAACCTTGAAACTCCTGGATGCCAGCTAACTTGGGTGCATCAAGAAGCCAGTCAGTGAGTGTCTGATTCTTGAAAGCTATGCTGCGAAATTGTTTCCCACCATTCACGTTCCAGGTTCCAACACATACTCGAATTTTCTTCGGCTTTGAATATTTGTAGAAATTCTCACACATGCTCTTTAGTACTTTAGAAGATGCTAAATGAGACAAGACACAACAGAATTTTAGCTGCATTAAAGCATTTATAAAAATTGATTTTCATAACTGAGATATGACTCCGGAAAGTACAATTATCACAAGCACGAACAAGCAAAAGATACATGCACGGGCACAAAAAAAGATCAGCCTTCAATGCAAAGCCTGGCATGAGGCAATTACCAACACATCTTAAAAAAGAAAGTCAACATTAAACACTATAGCCAAAGTAAAAAAAAAAAAATACTATTACAGATACAGAATTACTGCAGCAATATAAAACATGCAGAACAAATAGTTCTGTTTCAGGGAAATGGTACATTATTTGATACTGTACAAATCCTAAGAAATATACACTTTTAGGAAGATAGCAATTAATTTTCTACAACTTTATTAAGAGTCTGATAAAAATATAAATCTGATTTTTCTCCAAACAAAAACATTTAAGAACATTTACATTTAAGATTCTATCTATAAAAGGCAGCTTGATGAATAATGTCTCCTTGACAAAAACACAAGATGATATTTCTGAAAATGAAATCACTACTAAATGTTTCCCATCTCACTCAGAGTGGAAGCCAAAGTGCTTAAACAATGATCTGAAAGGCCCTAAACAATTTGTCTTCTTTTTCCACCCTCATCTTCCACTCTCCCTAGTGCACTCATTGCTCAGATGCTGGCCTTCCTGCTGTTTCAAAAACATGCCAGGCCAGCTCCCACCACAAGTCTTCGCACTGGCTGAGACCACAGCCTGCAATGTTCTTCCTGTACATCCTTCAAGTCTTTACTTTCCAATGAGACCTTCTCTGACCACTTTATTTAAACTGCACTCTGCCCCTAACTTTCCATTATCCTCTCCCTGGTTTATTTTTCTCTATAGCATTTATCACATTTATAAACTATTATTTTATTTACTTATCCTACTGTCTCCCCTCATGAGAATAGAAGATCCATGAGGGCAGACATGTTAGTCTGTTTTCTTTATGGCAACACTCCTAGTAACTAAAAAAGTACCTAGTACACAGTAAGTGCTCAATAAATAATTGTTAAATGAATAATCAATACATTTTGAGTCCTCAATCTCTCCTTTTTTTTTTTTTTTTTTTTTTTTTTTTTTTTTTCAACTTTTTTTTTTTTTTTCTAAACCACATTCCATTTTGGTTAAATTATCAGCATAGAACCTTAAAAGCACCTCGACCTAAAAAGAGAATTTGCATTTAATTGGCGGCTAACCGGTAACAGGAAAAGGACACCAAAACTATTTTCACCTTTTACTACATGATCTTATTTTATGATATTATCTTATGATACCAAGATACAGCAGTCTTACGAGGAAATGAGAGTGAAAAAGGCAAATAACATGTTAGTATTATTGCAAAGCTAATTTTGACCTGTGGAACTGCTGATTTAGGTAAGTATATGCCCAATGTTTCCAGGGGCAGATATGCAGATTTCTCAGCATCTTGCTGTTTGCTTTGATTGCTTGTATAGAGGTGTCTGGGTGGTAACGAAAACAGATTGTTTGGCCTATTGGTATGGTTAATTCAAAGCTGACTGTACCTAGATAAAAATAATTCTGTACTATTACGGTTTATCATTGGTCTTTAAAATTGAAGTCACTGTTGTTGTTACTAATGCAAACATCACTTCCATAATCCGTTCTATATCAACACCCAAGTTCTATAATAATTATACGGCTTAAAATATTCAGCAAGACAATGAACTGTGTGAACAAAAATGTTCTGCCTCACATACTAAATAAACTAATAAAATCAAGTCAGTTTTTAAATGAAATAAAAAGGTAATAAAATATTCCTAGTTTACTCGTAACTGGTGGCACCTTAATGTGCTTAAAGAAACAATGAGTTGAAATAAAATAAAAAATTTAAAGAAAGAAACAATGAGTCTATGCTCAAACAACAGATGTCCATCCCTAAATACCATGCCACTTCAGAAAATGGTGTTCATTATATAATTCGAAAATATATCCAGGTGCTCCCTTCCTCTACCCTTCTCAAAAAAATAATCAACAGCTTCTCAAAACATTCAGAACAATAACTAAGCCAAACAATTCTTAAATGATAGTAAATCCTTTTCAACTAAATATCTGGCAAGAGTTAAGTTTCATTCCTTTTGCCACAGATTCATGTTTAAAGACAAGATCATAATCCTCGCCCAGAGAATAAAGACATGAGATTTCTAAAAATAGATAGGGAAGAAAAAAAATAATCTTTAGGTCTTACACACTTAACTATTATTTGTTAGAAATCTTGGCACTTTTTAAAATTAAAAGATTTCAGATCATATTTTAGTGCAAGTCTGTAGTTTTTAAACTATTTCACTCACAATAAGGAAATGAGACATTACCTTCTTAAATATTAAGTGTGAGAAACGCTGTTGAGTAGTCATAAATATCACAGATGGCACTCAGAAATTAATCCAAAGTAGTTACATCTGGACTTTTTTCCATTAGCCTATTAAGAGTAAGGCGTAACACTGGCCAGGCTCGGTGGCTCACGCTTGTAATCCCAGCACTTTGGGAGGCTGAGGTGGGCAGATCACGAGGTCAAGAGATCAACATCATCCTGGCCAACACAGTGAAACCCTGTCTCTACTAAAAATACAAAAATTAGTTGGGCGTGGTGGCACGAAGCCACTGCACTCCAGCCTGGCGATGGAGCAAGACTCCGTTTCAAAAAAAAAAAAAAAAAAAAAAAAAAGAGTAAGGCTTAACACTAATAATGTTTGTTCAATGAAATGCAAGAGTGAAATTAAAACTAGCTGAATTATCTTTAATTGGAATTAAGCAATTGCTACAGGAAGACAAAGAGCACTGCACAATTTTCTTCAGAATGAAGTATTTAATTTTCTCAAGCTTGAAATTCTGTTCTCAGATTAAAACAAGATATCAATTTATCCTGTTAGAATCTGATGGCAAAATAAGAAAGTTTCCCATTATATGGTTTTATTTGTTTACAATATCAACTTCAGAAAAATTAAGAAAAAATTGCTTTTATTTATAGATTGATTTTCTATACTGTACCTGACTGTAATGTCTGTTCAGAAACTATGGATGCATCAAGAAGAAAACAAAGAATCATTAGTAAAAACAAGTTACAGTTAAAATGTATATTGACAAACATTTTGAGATGACCTCACTTTTTTATTTTAAGTCAATCTGATAACTTATTTTTCTGATGGCTATAGAACACCAAAGGTTACAAATAAATGACAATGACTGATACAAACCTTCTGCATCTAAGAAAAATCCTACAGTGACTCAGTGATGTCCACCATTACATCCTCAGAAGCTCCTAGGCCTGCTCTTCTGGCTGTTCCTGTGTGTATGTTATGCATGCATGTGCACACGTGTTACATTATGAATATGAATATGAAAATCTAAGAGGATGTTGAAGATATGGAAGATATTGCCCTAATATACATCTTTTAGTATTCTTTCTGGGACTTAGCAGTTGATAAGTACAATCAGTTCAGCTATAACAAGACAAATGCATTCTAAAAACATCACTATGCTATGCAAATTGTGCAAATTCCCATAGCCTCAGGGCTTATGGGAAAAAATAGGGTGGGGTACCACATTCAAAAATGTCAATAGTGACAGACCAAAAAAGATCGGAACCTCATAAAAACAGTAGCATGACATTACACATGTTAAATGGTTATAAAATGAATGAATATAACCATTAATAAGGCACTTCATCTTGAATGAAGTTGGCTTGTAGCAATGGGCATCGACATGGTGCAGCTTGTAATGTGAATAATGGAAAAAGGGATATCTGAAATTAGATGGAGAGTTGAAACAACAGATATGGGTGGATATGGCTCATGACACACACAGTGAACTGAGGCAGGGGAAGATGTTCGAGGTATGTGTGCATATGTGTATGTATGTTGTATATATTTCTAGCCATCTTAGTTCTTCTGGGTGCACTTTTCTGCATTTACCTAGTGTTGCTTGCCAGCAAAATCACACATAAGCTCATGCGAAATTGGCCTTACGCTCAAATAGCTCCCTAATATATCAATTATATTGGAACAAATTCCCATTATCAGAACAAGTGTTGCAACAGAACTGAATGTACTTTTTAAAAAGGTATTATTTTACATATAGTAAAATGTGCAAGAAACTAAAAACACTGATGCTTTAGTCTGGGGATTACATAGGTCCCTTGCTTCTCCTCTTCTTTCCTTCAACCATTTACTTTCAATTGTTGCTTATTAACGCCTCCACATCAAAGTAGGCACAGGTGGAAAGAGGTGACAAAACACAAATGAGTCAAGTCTCTACTTTTGGAAGCCAGGAAAAAAGCCTGAAGTTGAAAGTAGTAGCTGAGATCAGATATTTTTTGGAGATTTAGTAGGTTTAAGTTCCTCAGCCCACTTACAGATCCCTGAGGAGCTGTCTATAATTAGCTACCTTTAGGTACCATGCAGAATTCTGAAAGAATCCATAACCTATTTGACCAAGTAATTACCCAAGAATACATAACTTGATGCAGAAACAATTTTCTCCCACTTGAACAGGGAACATTAAACAGTTTGGTTTATGGCTAACAGAAAAAATTTTTTTTCAGAGTGCTAAAATGTCAAAATGGAAAAAAGTACAATTAAGAAAGTCTAATTTATTTGGTCAATTATACCTCAATACATTTTGGGGAAAGAATAAGCAAGTCTAACCTATTAAGTCCTCAATGAATGTTGAGTTTTCCCATCATGCTACTTTTATGTGCTCACTGACAGAGGCTTTCTTTTGATTTTAATAAAAGACACAATGGAAGGTGAAAACCTACGATGAAGGCCATTTATTTATTTCTAATATTAAAACTGGTAATAGCAGTTAGTACCCAATAATTAGCACTACTTTAAATTATTAATATGATTTAATGCTTATTCAAACAATAGCAATTAAAAGCTAAGACCAAATTACAGAAACTTTTGGGGTGGTGATTAAAAAAATAACCAATATAGGCATTACTTTTTCCAGTAAAGCATATAATTAATTATAATTATATGCTTTATATAATATATATGCTATATAATTAATTATTAAATGTTCTATTAAAAGTACTAGCTGAATATTCTATGAAATACTGCCTTGTACAAAGTTAACAATGATTAAATTATTTACCCCCTCAATCATAACCTATAGAAGAAACCATGCATGGGCCTCAATTTACAGCTTACTAACACCACTGATAGTACAAACATTTTAAAACAGACAAACTTCCTTGGGAGACTGTAATTTTCAAACATTACCTTTATAGAAATCCCTTCAAAACTATTTTAACCAACTAAAAATTGTTTGTGTAAATAAGTTGACATTTACCTCTTGGACTTTTAGGAATATTAATAACAAAGTAAATAAAACATAAAGTGCACATACCACGCAAACTTCCAGTAGTTAAAAGTGCTCGAGCTTTGTCAGCTAAATCACTATTAAGAGTATTTCCCAGTAGCAAAACATCAATGGCCTCTTGCTTAGAGCTGTCAAAGAAGTTATTCTGAATTGTTCTGGTAACAGAACGAGCACCATCTTTTAACTTTCCAGCCTGTTGAGAAAAAAGGAGCATACATTTTCATTTTAAATATTACTGATTTTACTCAGTAGGTAATTTGAAATTTTAAATCAGTTTTATACGATTTTAGTATAAAAAAGGACCTAATCATTCTATTTTGAATATATAATCATGACAATTCAAATGCCTCCAACATGTCACTGCTTCCTTTCTTTTAAAGCTCTGCACAAAGAAGTGAAAAGGCTCAGTGCTACAACCACATCCAGTAATGACATCTAGAGCAACAAATGTTTAAAATTGCTTATTACAAAGGAAATAAACTGAAGTGAACTTATTTAAAACAAGAAAATTCCTTCTTACAAGGTAATTTGTAAACTTGGGGATAAAATTGGTAGGGAGAAATGGGAGATAAAAGAAGACACACTGAGCTTAAATGCCCCTAGAAAAACTTCAAAATACTTTGGTAGTAGAAAAAGAAAATGGAAATTGCTCCCAAATAGCTTACACTAGTTAAAATTAAAACTAAATCTAAGAATGAAGGTCTACTTCTCAAAAGAAATTTACAAGTACAGTTCATAAACAAATATTACATGTAAACTACAGTTTGTGTATTTTGAGTCATTTTATTGCCTATGCAAAAATACATCATAAACTAATAAACTTATTCCTATAGTGAGAGTTGATTATAACTTTTAATGAATATATATTTTACTTATGCATGTCAGGTACCATAATGATTTATTTTGATCTTATGGATTTTGATGATTGTCAAAACAAAAAAAAAAACTTGCACCTTTTAGAAAATAACTTTAGTTTGCAATGTGTAATTTTTATTCTTTAAAGAAATAACAGTAACTTGAGGCTTCTTTTAAGAATAAAGAGCCAGCCGGGCGCGGAGGCTCAAGCCTGTAATCCCAGCACTTTGGGAGGCCGAGGCGGGTGGATCACGAGGTCAAGAGATCGAGACCATCCTGGTCAACATGGTGAAACCCCGTCTCTACTAAAAATACAAAACATTAGCTGGGCATGGTGGCGCATGCCTGTAATCCCAGCTACTCAGGAGGCTGAGGCAGGAGAATTGCCTGAACCCAGGAGGCGGAGGTTGCGGTGAGCCGAGATCGCGCCATTGCACTCCAGCCTGGGTAGCAAGAGTGAAACTCCATCAAAAAAAAAAAAAAAAGGGAATAAAGAGCCAATTTTCTTAAATTCCACTAAATGAAGAACCAGCTTTCTTCAATGCTGTTACATGATGCCACTATATTTAATAAGCAATTAATGTTTGGCATTAAATGTTATTTCTTTCTACATAATAACATATGCAAATAACATTATTTGAAAAGACACTCACCATTCACATTATCAGGCAATAATAAGGAACCCAGAGAAAGGAAAAGAAAGAGCAGTTCAGATGTTAGATTTTAGTTCAATTCAGACTAGCATATTTAATGTATAAAATTTTATATATTATGTTAAAGATGAAAGACCACTGAAAATATATGTAACCTCTGTACATATATTGTAGTCACTGCAGAAATAAAAAGGTAGAAGAATATAAAAGAATATTTTAAGCAATAGTTTGAGAATCAGCTTTTAATAGCAAGAATTATGTTCTTAATTTAAAAGCAATAAATCAAAGTTTAACAATTTCAGGTTTATAAAAATAGGGACCATTTAAGAAGTAAATATTTATAAAAGTCAATACAAATTATTTCTATGAGTTGAACAAAAGAAACTTTGCAGGTAAGGTTAATACCTCTGGGCAGAGGCATGGCATATTATGAGACACAGAAGAGGAAGATTTGGAAATTAAAAGAAGACTTAGAGATCATGAATGGTCTTTAAAGAATTTCAGTTGCTATATGGAAGAAGCTGAATGAGAACTACAAAAGTGATAAATGTTCTCATTTCTATTCTTGAAATAATCTGAGGAATTGTGGAGATTTAGAAAATTGATAAATTCAAGTAAGGCCAGGATCCTTAAAAAGTTAAACAATACTTAAGTAGATAAAATAATGAAAACTATCTCAAGTATTGTTCCAAACTCCCTCAATAAGGGCCAAATATTTGAGAAGAAGGCAGTCTGTAGATAATACTAGGAAATAAAAAGTAATGATGAAACAGACAATTATAATTAAGTCCATCCTTTTCTTTTTTTTTTGAGACAGTCTCACTCTGTCACCCAGGCTGGAGTACAGCAGCATGATCTTGGTTCACTGCAACCTCTGCCTCCTGGGTTCAAGCAAGTCTCATGCCTCAAACTCCGGAATAGCTGAGATTTCAGGTGTGCGCCACCACACCCAGCTAGTATTTTCAATTTCAGTAGAGATGGGGTTTCACTATGCTGGCTAGGCTAGTCTAGAACTCCTGGGTGCAAGTGATCCGCCTGCCTCGGCCTCCCACAGTGCTGGGATTACAGGCACGAGCCACCGAACCCAGTCTACATCTCACATTTCTTTGGCATATCTTGATAGCCACCTTCCCAAGGTAAGATAAGTAAAGACAAATTATGCCCTAATGTTGGGTTCATAGTAAGCACTGCATAAACTGTTGATTGACTTATTTGTCCAAGTGGCATATGTCACACATCTATTAACAGCAGGCACTGTCTCAAGTGCAGGGAATACAAAGCCAAATAAGAGAAAACCCTTTATTAAGAGGTCTATGGTTTTAAAAATCATATCTGTAATCCAACTACTTGGAAGTCTGCGGCAGAATTGCTTGAACCTGGGAGGTGGAAATTTCAGTGAGCTGAGATCGTGCCACTGCACTCCAGCTTGGGTGACAAAGCAAGACTCTGTCTCAAAAAAAAAATCATATTTATAATCAAAACAAACAATACGAAAAGTAAAACAGATATACAAGGGAAAAGTCATGAAAAAAAGAGAAATATAGTGGATTATCACTCAATGACTAGATATGTCATATATACATACTTCCCAAACTTAGGGAAACATCTATCTTCCATTTATTCACTAGTACCCACTGTGAAAGGAAGTATCAAAGAGGACATAAAAACACATTAAACAGCATTCTAAAACACATCTATTTAAACCATCTATTAATTTTTAAAAGGCCTTTTAAAAGTTGATGAAGAGAGGAAAAAGAGGATATTCTAAAATGTTATGATAGATCTAGATCTACCTTTGCTTTCCCTTCAAGAGCTCCAGTTCCTGCATATATCTTACTGATTGAATCACCGTTCACAGACCACATTGACCGAAAAACTTCTTGAAAGCGAGTCACCAACTGAGGCTTTTCAGCTAAACGAAGAGCTTCCAACTGTTTAGCTAGCATCTAAAACAGCAAAAGAGACATTTTTATAAATATATTAATAAATTAATTGTAATATGGCTTTTAAGAACCACCAGAATCAAACCAAAATTTATCATTATAGTACTATTTGGGACTGGATTCTGAAAACGTAACACTTTACTAGGTTGTGTTAGTTCCCATCATTTCAATTTTTAAAAAAAAATGCTATATCAATGAAAACTACAAGTATTGATAAGGACTTCTTTCTGGTTGAATGATAAAACTTATCAAAGTATCCCTATAAATGAGAGTTGTTTATCTTGCCCACCTAAAAGAATTAATCAATCAACAGCCTGCATTAGAATTGAGAAAAATGTTTAGTTTGCCTAAATATAAATAACTAGGTCTCTATAATTTTTGGACTGGTGTTATAAGTTTAAGTAATTAAGGCAAAAACATATGAAAAAAAGGAGTTGCTCTTCAACTGTCACGAAATAAAGAAAATAAGTAAAATCTCTGAATAAAGCCATGACAGCTTTTTATGCATAAAATCTGTATCAGTCATACAGTAATTTATATAGTAATACAGTTCTTCCATATGGAAGAACTAGGGGAAATAGCATGCAAGGAATTCAAGCACCTCTGGGCTTCTACAAGTCCTTGTCACATAAAACAATAAAAGTGTTTCAAAAAATTATTGATCTTAATATGCATAAATTCCAGCCTTGAAATCTGACAGAGTCAAAGCAGTGTTCAATCTTTATCCAGTCTGTTTATTTAGAATCTAGTCATATTCTATGCCTTGCATTTTTATGTATGTTTTATTTTATCTTATATAAGTATGGTTATGATCCATATAGAAGAACCAAATAATATAAAAAAACCTTAAACTGGGTTCATTTAATTACCTAGAGACTTAACACTACAGCTGTTCTTTGCCAGCATGGAGAATAAAACAAAATGAGCCCCAGGGCCTCCTGTATCATTTAAATCTTTCTCTCTTCAAGGAACTGGGCAAAGCTCATCTTACTCCTCTACTAGTTTGGCTTTGCCTATCTTAGCGGCAACTTTGTAACCAGTCAACCCATTGCTATCCTAGGGAGTTTTCTAATTCCTATCAACAGTGGAGAATCAGCTAAGCTAGATCCTGAAAAATAACCTGTTACAATTTTGATGAAAAGGCCCAAGTATTTCAATAAGCTTATTATTAGAATCCATGTACATATTCAGCCACTTAAAACCAGAACTTGAAACAAATCCAAGTCATGTGATAAACTCTTATCTAAATGACCAACATGCTTGCTTTCATTTTCTTGTTTCTGTCATATTTTCTAAATAAATTACAAGTAAACCTCAATAATATATTTCAAAAAATCCAAACAGTAAAGTTTAGTTACATGAAAAATACATTCTGTGGTAGAGAATTTTATATACTGTACTTTCATTTTTGAGACAGAAAGAACCTCAGCTGCAAAGTAACTAATTAATCAATATTCAGGTCAAATTTAAGATAATTAAATAGAGGAAATAAGAACATGTAACCTCCTATTGCTGTTTTTTGTTTTGTTTTGTTTTTTAATAGCACTTGATAACTATGTTAAGTTCTGATGGAACTAAATGAAGTTTAGCCACCGCCTTATAACCCTAACTTGCAGAATAGGGAAGACTTAGAAAGCTCAGCATTGCTATAGTTTGTCAAATAGTTGAGACAATGTTTATATTAGGCTGAATCTGATGGATAAGTAGTAAAGAAAAAAAAAATCTTGTAAACAACGACCTTATCAGAGAAGTAGAATCGCATTCATTTTCATTCTCACTAACTACGGCATTTTCATCTGATCCTGTTTTTTTATAGCTACTAATTTGAAAACACCAAACAAACTGGATTGGGTTACAAATTGTCAAAAATATAGTCCTGTAGAATTGTACATGTGAAAATAGACCCTTCTTATCCTAAAACAGATTTTTAAAAGACAACACAGAAAATAAAAGGCCAAATACACACATAAACCCCCCTTCTGCCCCACACATACATATTTCCTCCAAAGGACAGGGAAAAAAATTGTTGAAATAGTATAAATAGCAGATTTAAAAACGGGAGAATTAAGGAACAACGAGAGTGGCTACACAGCTACCTAAAGAGAATATGAAGATCAGGTAAAGGAAATATTTAAATCAAAAGAAAATTTGGCCAAAAAAAGAGACAGAGACTAGAAATAAAAAATGAAGCATAACATTATATATATATATTCTGAAAAGTAATAAGAAACATAAGTATTACAAAAGCACTTAAAGAGGTATATGATACAAGGCACAAACATTTTAATTTATTTTTTTACCTCTAAGCCAAGAAATGCCTGCACACTATTTGTTCTATCAAGACAATCCAAGCAGTTTGTTCGAACTGTACCGCTCTGGGATCTGTAACCAATAAGGTCAAATATCTAGTTTGGAACAAAAATAAAGCTAAAACAAACTGTGAATAATCAAGGTAATTAAAATGTAGCACCCACCTTCCCTCTCCAACTTTTATTACAGTTTTCATATATCCAAATATACAAAAAAAAATTAAGAAATAGATTGTGAACATCCATATGCCCACCATTTAAATTTAACAGCTGTTAATATTTTGTCACATATTCTTCATTACATATCTATCACATACTTATTTTTAATTGGGCCAACAATTAGAAGCTAAATATACATTCAGGTTTATGCTCTCACAGTTCTTTGCACATAAAAGAAAAATATTTATGGAACACATTTTTTTTTTTAAACCCAAGATCTGTTATCTCTAATGACTGTGTCTACAGCATTAATGCTAAATAAAATACAAATTGAAAAATTAAAAATTTGAGCTTTGTGCAATGACGTTTCCCTTAGCCTGTATTCTGAACTTAACTCTTTTTTTTTTGAACTTAACTCTTTTAACATTTACTTTTCTCCTCTATTTCACATGCAAAAACTGAATATTTAAATTATACTAAAGCAGAGAGCAATGTCTTTTACTTCTGTTTGCATTTAACAGTTTTTACTGACATCAAGAAATACTAAAACATAAGTTTTAAAAGAGAAGCAAAACAGTTTCATATATAACAGCATGAAGTATGGAGCCAGACGAATCCCAGTTCTAACACTTGTTAATTATGAGACTTGCGGCAGATATAATGGGCATAATAATAGAACCTATCCCTGTAATTGTTATTGATACATGTTAAGACTTAAGTACACTGCCTGCTCCATAAAATGTGTCACTAATGTAACCTCTCATTATTATTTGGTGAATTCTAAAGAAAGGAAGAACAACAAGTTTAAAATCAAGTATAGGATGGACGAGATGTTTCCCGCCTGAAATCCTAGCACTTTGGGAGGCTGAGGCAGGCGGATCGCTTAAGCCCAAGAGTTTGAGACCAGCCTGGACAATATAGGGAGACCCCAACCCCGTCTCCACCAAAAAAAAAAAAAAAAAAAGCCAGGTGTGGTGGCACACACCTGTAGTCCTAGCTACTCAGGAGGCTGAGGTGAGAGGATCTCCTGAAACCAGAACGCAGAGGCTGCAGGGAGCTGAGACTGTGCCTCTGCACACCCGCCTCAGAAACAAAGTGAGGCCCTACTCAAAAAAAAAAAAAAAATTAAAAAATATTTTAGTTAATTATAAATTTTAATTTTAAAAAGAAAATTTAAGAGTTCAACATTAAGAATAATTTTTAATTATAGCAATGCTCCAATTCAAAGAACAGAGAAACAGGGCAGTCAAACCTTTGAACTTCACTTCCATTGAAATAAAAAAATCCATAATCTAGAAACTTCTGGACTTGAGGTTTAAGAACACTGTGTAATTTTTCTGCCTTTCCTCCTTTAACCATTTGATGATAGTCAAAATTCACCATCTGGATATCAGCAGCATGTTCAGAAGCTTTCAAATGACTCTGAAAGTAAAAAGGCAAATATTCATCTAAATGTTAACTAAATAAGATTTTATCAATATAGCATTATAAATAAAACCTTACATTTAAAATTAAAACCCAGCATGGTTCCTTGAGATTTCACTAATCCCACATTTCACTGACATTGGCAGTAAAATGGAAAATCACTTGAGGATATCTAATGACATCTTTTTCCTAAAGCCTCACATACTATCCCTGAGAGATTAGGTGACATAATTAACATCCGGGTACCTAAATAATATTCTCATCTGGTTTAGGAAATAAAAAATTATTTCCAATTGTCAGCATTTTATTTTTACAACACAAATTTAATAACGTCTTATACTATTATAGAATCTCAAAGTTATCTTATTTAAGACAAAGCCTATCAAAGACTGAAAGTCATATTTTATGACTTCATTTAATACAGACAAGTATTTTTTAAGTTTACCATGTTACTCTGTAAAGTATAATCTGTTTATTAACAATAACTATTTTATAAGGTTAAAAAATAGCTATGTAATTAGCATACTTCTGGACTTAGGAGATTGAACTTTAGAAAATGTTTTCCAATGATCTTAAGGTTATAATCTTATATAACACCATAATATATATTAATTATTAATCAGTAAGTGCTTATTAAAATATTTTTTCTTTAGAAGTCAGGCAATTTTTGGGTTCTTTTTGACATAAAATTCTCAAGTTTTCTCTCATCAATACAAGAAGGTATAGTGTTGGATGTAAATAAATGCATTATTCACAATTTCATAAGTTAAAAACAATGACTACTGTTCTAGGAAGCAGGCAAAGCAATGAACAGATAAAGAAGGAAACTGCTATTTCTCTACTAGTGAGGGATAAATATTTTTGGCAAGGAGGGTATCTTTCTGTTTTTCTACAAAATAAAAAAACAGATTAGAAAACAGTGTCATTTGCCTTGAAAGCTTTTTAGAATCTCAATTTCAGCAACATTAGCCTAAATTGTTTCCTGATAGACCCAAAGAGATAAAATTTCCAACAAGCACCCAATCTTTTTCTTGGAAATAATTTATTTCCTGGAAGAATTTGATTACTATATTATCTTACTTTTTAATACCATTCTAGGTGTCCATGGGCCAGAATGAAATAAGAAATGACCATACTTACCTGGAAAGCCTTACTTAGCATATGTTCACCTTCCTTAGATCCGAGCAAATTTACTATTATTTGTTTACCATATAAGTTCTTAAGTGTTCTAAAATGCCTATTTAAAAAAGAAAGGAAATACGCACATGTCAAATAAGAAGCCTATTTTTTTCAATAAACAAGAATCCATTATTAAATAGAACTTATATGGCAGTATTTTAAACACGGAATTGGAAAACTGGGTGCAAATTCATTGTACATGGTCTCAAAGCTGAATTTACAAAAACTCATGAATGCAATTTCCTCTCTGAGCTATAGGTACTGAGACTCCCACCCCTGCCGGGACTGTGGAGGCATCCAGCTTCTGCCTACTCTGTGAGGCTGGCACCAGAGAAGACAGATACCAGCCGTGAGCTTGGCTGGGAAGGTGGTTAGGTCAGATAGCACAGGGCTGCAGCTCACATGTGAGGACATCACAAGCTCTGTGAGTATTCAGAGGGACCTCCTCACTGGCCAGTCTTCAGAAAAATGGGCCCCAAATGTGAGTCTTTTTTCTTTCCAGCTTCTAACCATTCCAGAAGCTATGTAGAGCAATACCACACAAAGGAAATATAACATAAACCACGCCTATAATGTTAAAATTTCAAGAAAGTACATTTATAAACATGAAATAAAATATATTTTCTTTAACTCAACATGTCTAAAATATCATTTCAACATGTAATCAATATAAAACAACTACAGTTAACCTTTGAACAACACAGGTTTGAACTGTGCAGGTCCACTTATATATGGATTTTTTTCAAACAAACAAGAATCAAAACTACAGTATTCCTGGCATGCAAAACCCATGAATATGAATGATGAGTTTTCATAAGCACGGGTTCCACAGGGCCGATTGTGGGACTTCAGTACGCACAGATTTTGGTATGAGAGGGTAGAACCAATACTCTGAGTATACCGAACATGATTGTACTAATGAGATACCTTACATTCTTTTTTATTTTTTAAGGCAGTCTTTGAAATCTAGTGTGCATTTTATACTTGCAGCACATCTCAACTGGGACCAGTCACATTTCAAGTGCTCAGCAGCTACATGTGGCTAGTGGTTGCTATACTGGACAATGCGCCCACAGAAGAAGTTTTAAGGCCAAGAGATCAAGACCCACACTTCCAGCACTGCCAGCCAGAAGTCATAACACTAGGTGTCATTGTCTTTCAATTGAATTAGGAGTCAGAAGGAATTTTACTTAAAGGCAAAAAAGTTTGAAATAAATCAGTAAATATAACTAGTCCCACTGCTTATCAATATCAAAATTTAAAGCACTATGGAAAAACTGTCTTACCTGTCAAAAGCAGGTGCATTGGCTTCAAATCCCCTTGACATACGGACACGATGAGATCCCACCTTAAACAAGAAAAATACATTTTCAAACCAAAAACCAACATACAGACGAAAGAAATATCGCTGCTTATACTATTTAACAATTTCTTTGCTAAACACACAGTTGTTAACCAAAAAACTTTCATTTATGATATGCTTTTAACCCCCTTCTTTATTTTTTAAAAAAACCTCATCAAAAAAAGAACTAGAAGTTACATCATTATGAAATACTCCTAAACTAATAGGAATTTTTATTGATTTAAACTATTTTTAAAAGTGCTTTCATATATGTTACTTTCTTTTAAGCTCAAACTACGTGCCCTGTGTAACAGATAGTATTATCATTTGGGTAATTTAAAAAAACTGAAATACCAACAGGTAAAATAACTTGCCCTCTGAGATCAATATAACTAATTCCAAAAGAGATTCAGATGAAATTTTACGTCTCTGACCTAAATTCCTATTCTTCCAAGCTACCTAACAGTACAAATGTCTGTGTTTTTTTCTCTGCTATGTTGAATACTCTTCACCTCTCCCTCACCAAAGTTTCACCAAATTGAGAAAATCATTCCTTCCTCAAAAAGCAGACTTTCCAAGTCAACCTTGCCATCACCCAACTATAGTAACTGCACACTTTGCAGAATCAGGAATTTGGGGTTAAGCAAATTAAACAAGATGGAAAATATCCACCTATTGTATATTGTTATAATGTTTATTTTCTTACATAGAAGAGTAGCAGAGAGATGAGGCATAACTGACAAAGATGTAACACGCCAAGAAAAAAATATATGGGTGAGACCAGATTATTTCCGTGACCTTCAGTTTAAACATTTCTCTCTGAGACTCTGGCATGAAGACTGCCCAATCAGAACAAGGATTCCTGTGGTGGGGCAAAAAAAAAGTTGCCCAAAATTCATTCTTGCTAACCTGTGAACAAAGTGCTTTTAAAGAGGGTGGGGAAGGAGGGTTGTCAAATCAGTCATGCAGTCTGACAATTAAACCAGAAAATAAATATGCTCATCCAATTCCAAAACTGAATTAACAGTACAGTATCAGTCATTAAGCATTATTATAACCCTCACTGCACTAAGTTAGATAATCTAATGACTTCTGATAACCAAGGAATTCTCTCTTCAATTTTTAAATAAGAAATCAATTAGCCTAATGTCACATCTGTATTCAATTTCATTTTATAGTACTTAATAATCTTCATAAAAGTTTAAAATTTGAAACATGTATGTCCCAGGACATTAAGCATTTCAGACTGCAGAAAACTCAGAAGTTGATACTTTTTCTCTGGAGTAATCCCAGATTAACTGCCTATAACTCTATACAAGTTCAAGACTTAGCATTTTGTTTACTGATTAACACTTATATAGTACTGCAATTGTACATAAGGTGAAAAACATAAGGTTTTCACATCTTCCAAGTAATACCTGTGGTTGTTTTCCACCACTCAGTTCCCTAACACATATATACATCCAGTCACGTATCACAGCTCTCATAGCAATATAATGGCTAGACTAGATTAGATTTCCATTTTTATGTTTTTGGAGACATAGTCTCACTCTGTCACTCAAGCTGGAGTGCAGCGGTACGATAGCTCACTGCAGTCTCAACCTCCTGGGCTCAAGGGATCCTCCCACCTCAGCCTGCTGAGTAGCTGAGACTACAGGTACATGTCATCATGCCTGGATGATTTTTATTTTTTTGTGGCTCAGGCCTGTAATCCTAGCATTTTGGGAGGCCAAGGCGGGAGGACTGTTTGCCCAGAAGTTCAACACCATCCTGGGTAATATAGGGGGACCCTGTAACTACAAAAAACAGTTGTACATGCCTGTAGTCCCAGCTACTCGGCAGGCTGAGGAGGGAGGATCACCTGAGCCTGGGAGATAGAGGCTGCAGTGAGCCATGACTGCACCAGTGCACTGAAGCCCGGGTGGCACAGTGAGACCCTGTCTTAAATAAATAAATATAAATTAAATAATAAAATAACATGAAAAAAGTGTAACATAGGGCTCATAAACTGGTTATTAGAAGCTCTAACACTAGCCTGTCCCTAAACAAAAGCATTCACCTTGCATCATATCAGGGTTTTGGCAATGTTCTTAAAGCAAATACTCTAAGCACCCACTGTTGATCATGAAAGCTTAGAAGTGGGGTTCTGTTGGGATTCTCTCCCAAGGGAGATTTAGGGAAAAATATATCTATTTAAGTTAACCCTACAAAGACAAGACAAGTCAAATAGTCTTGACAAGAATTCAAGAATTTTTGCAGAGCAGTACAAGTGTTAATCCTTGTTAACTCTTGGGCTCTCTTAAATAAAATATTACTAAAACAGTTCAAGTGGTCTGTAATTTTTCTCCACAATAAACATTCTATGATATAAGAGTTCCAGAAGTCAAATAAAGGAAGCAGGATTTTTTTTTCATTCCCTTTTCTCAATACTATAGGCTGAGGCACCAAACTTACTAGACTATACATACCCAGAGGCCTAAAGTAAATATCACATACTTTAAGGACTAATGAATTTTGAATAAAAATAAAATGTCAACAATAGCTAACCCTTACATGGTGCTGACTGGGGGCCAGGTGCTATTCTAAGAGCTTTTTATTTAATACTTACAACAACCCTATGAAGTAGGTACTATTCATATTATTCTCATCATACAGATAAGGAAACTGAGACACAGAAGCGTTGAATTATTTGCCCAAGATCACACAGCTAGTAGTGATAGAGTAAGGATCCCAACTGAGAAGTCTGGTTTCCAAGGCTTTGTTTTATCTACTACACTTTTCACCTAAAAAGACTAACTTGTTACATACTAAGATAAGAAAATAATAAATATGAAATCACTTTGAAAATCAATGTGCTATAAAGGCCTCAAAATTTTTAATACTAAATACGCAGCTGAATTTCAATGGCTATTTGAAACAGCATTAAAAGAAAAAATATCTAAGATAATTCCAGAAACTTTGTACTCAGATCCTTATTTGTAAATCTAGTTAACATTATTAGAGAAAATAATGGAACTATCAATGACTTAATAAACTATCCTGAAAGTTTAGAAAATACGAACATTTTTCAAAAAATAAAAATAAAAACTAAACGTCAAACACATACTTGCAACCCTGGTTGCTCCCAGAACAATGGAACAGATCCTCGGATTTGTATGAAGGAAGAAACAGAGTCATCTAAGTACACAACCTACAAAAAAAAAACCATAATGTATACTATTTCCACGGAAAAGTTGCTATACTTGTAGAAAAACAAACTTACTAAAATCTGTTGCATACTAGTTATATTTTATGATCTAGCTCTCATATACAATTGTCCAAAACAGGCCACTAAACAAGTTTGACTTTTTTTTTCTGTTAGTGATGTTAACCAAAAAAAATTAGTAAAAATATAAGATTCACAACTTTTAAAAATGAATTCCTTTTAAATCTTAGTATTTTATATACATATCTTTATATTTCATTTTGTTTAGCTCCTTATAACCTAATTTGAAGATCCGAGTTGGGCTGGGTTCATGGCCTGAATTTATATTCATATAGTTTCATAGCCAAAAGTATCATAATTTCTGATTTTTAGACAGTATATATATGTGCCATTAAGAGCCAGGTTTAATTTAATGTCACAGAAATAAAAAAACAAGTTGTCTAGCTCTACAACTGAGGATTTTAAAATTCAATACCACATTGAATATGTCATGCTGATTAGTGACATCTTGTTACCTATATGAAGAGTAATAATACCACACTGAGTTTTAAGGAAGCCTTTCTTTAAGGCCCATAGGTAACCAAGAACAATCATAAATCAACATTATAGATGTCAAAATAAGTTCTGAATCAAATAAAAATCTGTTATTCTAGTATTTTCTGTGCCTTTCCTATAATACATTAATTAAGAAATATAAAACACTACATATACCTGTTCTGTTTCTACAAAATTGGCAACATGACCATCATCATTTGTTCCCCGGACATTAAACCTGGTCCCAGCTCGTTCACAGCTTAATCTTGAAATGAGGCAAGCCTTTGCCTGTTTATGTGCAGCATAAATTGTTCTGATTTCTACACCTCCACACATAAGACGTAATAACCAGTCATCACAATTCACACCATAGTGTTTGAGATGCAAATGCAAAGACTGATTCCTAACAGGAAAAGAAATGAATGATTAGCTCATGGAATACTAAATAACAAAGTATGACTTTTAAAGTTATCTCCTGGAACATTAATATTATTAAATTTAAAGGTATAAAAACCAAATCAATTCATTTACATTTACTATGCTAGGGATCAGAAGATGGGGCTATACAATGAGATCCTTCAACATGTGATCTATGGTCCACAAAAAGGAGTATTTTTGTGTTTTTAGTTTCTGTGGCCCATTTCTGTTATGTCTTTATATATAATGTGCTTATACCGTAACTTGTTCCAAAAAAGGATAACATATGCATGTCCCCACCCCAATTTATGGAGCTCTACTTAATTTTAATTAATTTAAATTTAAATAGCAAGATGTAGCTGGTGGCTACCATATTAGATAGTGCAGGCATAGGGTTTAGCATCACTCCAAAAACTTTAAGCATTCTAGTTAACGACGGGGCTTATTCAAACTTTCTTCAGAGAAAAAGATTTTATTCAAACAAACATGAGGAAGCCCAATGATTATGATACAGATAAAAGCAGCTATGGCTGAAGTGGAGATTGGGACTGAGCCTTGCTGAGTTGGCCTTCGCACCCTGATTACCCCTCAGGGGTCTTTCCTGGAAGCTTAGACCTCCACAGACATATATAGAAGCTTCTAACAACATACCGCTAAGGAAAATACATTGCTAGGTGGAAAAACTCTATCAATTCAACAGTGAGTTTTCTATCCTATTGAAGCTTGGTTCTCCAGGTTTTAGGTGGAATTCTTCTTAAGTGTTCCATACTCTTTCTCTTCCTGTCTTAAACAAGGTAGCATTCTCTTGAAGACTCAAGAGCAATAGCCCTCAACTCCCTGCCCGCCCCTCAGATGACAGGCTGCAATAGAGTTAAAATGCAGTTCTGGAAAACCAGCTATTCCAACCCCTCTTATCTATCCAGGAAAGCGGATGGGAATATAAATGAAATTACTACAGGGATAATGTTAAATCTGATGACCATTATTTATTTTAAAAATACATCAGATTAAACTTCCATACTTTACTATGACCCACGTTGATCTGAGGCAAAGTTCAAATTGGTTGTGACCCAATATGTCCAAACACCATAGCTGAGACCTATGCCACAGCAAAGTTATAAGAAACTTATTTGTCCCCATTTAAATAGGCCGTAAACCCTATGCATTCTGTGCAGGCAGAGTTTCTGTGCTGTCACTTTTCATTTTTCTTTGCTGTCAATGTGTCACTGTTTTAGCATTTACATTTATACAAGACTTTTGACTGGCAGCAGCTTAGAATTTCTAGAGGAGTAAAGCTCTCTGGGCTTTGTGATAGGTATTTGCCACTCTTTGGCTACAAAAACTGCATAGTTGTATCCTGGAAAATATTTCTACTAAGTGCACAGTGAATTCCAAAGGTTTCCATTTTTCTACACAAAGTGAAGCTCAAGAATGCCAATCCTTAGCAAAACTGTAAAATGAGCAAAATTCACCTTTGGTGATTTAACCGTCCCTTTGTTCCACCTATCTCCTGCTGGACAAACTTCAAGCTTACTTTTATCTGACTTTGCCTCCATTTCCACTCTTAACTGAATTAAAAAAAAAAAAAAAAAAATGAGGCCAGGCACGGTGACTCATGCCTATAATCCCAGCAATTTGGGAGGCTAAGGTGGAAGGATCACTTGAGGTCAGGAGTTGGAGATCAGCCTGGCCAACGTGGTAAAGCCCCATCTCTATTAAAAATACAAAGAAATTAGCCAGCGTGGTGGCATGCATCTGCGGTCCCAGCCACCTGGGGGGCTGAGGCAGAAGAAATGCTTGAACCCAAGAAGTGAAGGTTGCAGTGAGCCGAGATAGCACCACTGCACTCCAGTCTGGGCAAGAGTGAGACTCTCTCAAAAATTAATAATAATAAATAAATAAATCATTCCTATTGATTAAATTTAGGCAATATATCTGCATCTTCTTGGACTTACAATTGTATGAAAGCTTTTATCTCTTAATCTAAAACTTTGGGTAAAAATGAGGGGAAAAAAATGTAAGGACAGCTGCCCTAGGCACAGCTGCAAAACATTTACTTTTTCTTTTTCTTTCTTTTTTTTTTTTTTT